ACAGATTCTTGTCGGCTATGGTTTGGTTGTGTGACCAAAGTCAAATGACTTTATGTTGCTGGGCCTCAGTTTCCCATGGGGGAAGGTTTAATAAGTGAAAACAGAACTAGATCAGCATTTGGACTCTTGCCCATGACAGGGTTTCTAGCAATTCTTCTATATAGACTCCACCTTAAGTTACTATTTCTCTAAGTCCCCAGTGACTGCCAGTATGCTTCCTTAGCCACACTGAGTATCAGGAGGTAGAGTTGGCTCTTCCTTGGGTGTCAGTACCACACAAAGATCATGGTTTCCAACCATTCACACCAAGGCTTAGTCTGAAGATCATCATAAACGTCACCAGCTTCTCCGACTGCAGGGCACATTTCTCTGACCTGTCTTCAACATAAACAAAGAACAGCACATACATGTAAAAAACCTACAAACCTTCCCAAAACAAAATAAACATTCTACTGTGCACAGTTGTTCCCTCCAGAAAGAGGATGCAAGAACAAATCGTCTACATGTTTTGTTAGTCTATAAAGTGCTACCAGACCATTTGTTGTTTTTTAATTTTATCTGACTGATGTTAGTCATGTTGCTTGTGTGTTAGTGGATGGCACTTGAATACTACAGAGTTGAGGGCAGTATAAGAACCTATGTATAATAGACAGCAATGTTAAGCTGAAAAATGAGTTCTGACAGACTTGGCAAAGTAGTGAATAGAATCAATTTTACAACAGTATGAGAACTCCAGTTAGTATAGCCCCAGCATTGAAATATTATTTCAAAAGAGCAAGTTGACTCGAAGATGCTGTTATCTGACCGGTATTAGTTTTGCTTTTAAGCGTCTGTGTTTTATTTGGTACTGATTCTAGTTAGTCTCCAGTATTGAACTGTTCCTGAAAGAGACATAGTCCTCTAGGGCCCAGGTATTCGTTAGTGGATGCTAGCCTCTGTTTGCCAAAAGGTAGGAATGGGCAACAGAAGATGGATCACATAATTACCTGTTCCATTCCTTCCCTCTGAGGCATGTGGCATTGGAAGCTGTTGGAAGATAGGATATTGGGCTAGATGGATTTTTGCTTTAACCCAGTTTTACAACAGGTATGAGACTGTTTGCTATGTTACAGTGAAGTACAACTGAAAGTTCAGTGATTTTGTGGCAAGAGCATCAGGTTTTAAATTGCTGAACAACAGTATTTGAAATGTTTTAAGAACATGAATGAAAGGAAACGTTGCTGTAATTTTCTTCTCAGAATCTTATCCTCTCTTGGTTTCAGTGACTCTACTCCCGGTTCTCCTACATCTCTAATCCTTCAGCATCTTGTCTGAAGCATCTTCCTTATCTTCCCCTCCTCTTCAACTTTCTGTGGGAGGTTTTCAAGGCTCTGTCCTAGGTTCCTTTTTCTTCTACACCTTTTTGCTAGGCAATCTGATCCACAAACCCAAATTCAACTACCATCTCTATGCTGATTACTCTAGCTCTTTATTCCAGACTTAACTCCTTTGCCCAAACAAAAATCTTGGCTGGTGTCTGACATCTCATGGATGTCTAGCCCTCAGCTCAAAACTAAAACTGCTCTTAATATCACCTTCTCTGCAGCCCTCTCTGTTACTCCTTTCTTAATCATTGTGGCAAAACCACCATCCTGCTATTCACTCAGGATCATAACCAGGGCATACTGATTGACTCAAATGGGTCCTCACCTCTAAGGCTACGTCTACACTGCAGGCTTCTTGTGCAAGAACTGTTTTGCATAAGAATTCTTGTGCAAAAGGTCTTACGCAAGAGCACATCCACGCTGCCATGTGCTTTTGCACAAGAGATGTGCTTTTGCGGAAAAGGACCCTGTTGGATAAATATACTCTGATCTAAAAAGGTCATGACAAAGCGAATGCTGGCTACGTCACACAAAAGGGAAAACGAGCAAACTCATGGAATTTCCTTTCTTGGTCACATGGGTAGAGGATACAACTGTGCATTAAAGTGTGCCACTTAACAACTGCAGGAAGTCCAGGTAAACTGCTGACCAATTCAGTGAAAAGGATTTTGCGTGAAAATATGCACTCAAGCATCTAAACATGCTACAGAGAACAGCCCCACAAAAAGCGTATCCTGTGGTGAGAACAGGAGGATCTGGATTCCTGATCTCATTTCCCACCTCTGATATTGATTTTCATTGTTATTTAGGGCCAATCTCAATCTGAGTGACTCAGTTTTACACATTTGGAAAACAATATAGTAGCTTATCTTCAGAAACAGCTGCACTTTGTGTTCCTTAAATTCCCCACACTGACAGGATCTGTAGAGCCATGGATCTTATCATCCAGGGGTACACAGAAGTCTTAAAAGGGGGACATCAACTCATCTAGGTATTTGCCTAGTTTTACAACAGGCTACATAAAAGCATTAGAAATCAGTACAAACTAAAATTTCATACAGTGTTTATACTGCTTTACATACTGAACTGTAGGTACAATATTTTATTCCAAGATCTGTTTTGTAAAGTAAGAGAATTAGAAATTTTTCAGTAATAGTGTGGCTTTGATGCTTTTTAATTTCTATGTCTGATTTTGTAAACAAGTGGTTTGTAAGTGAGGTAAAAGCTGGGGCAAGCAAGAAAATCAGACTCCTGAAATTATTTAAGTAGTCTGTAAAGGTTGAGGAGTCAAAATACTTGCAGAGATGGGAACAGAACACAAGTCACTTAAGCTCTGTGCCTCAGTTTCTCCATCTGTAAAATAGAGAAAATGAGATTTGCCTTGTCTGTATAGTGCTTTGAGATCTATTAATGAAAAATGACAAGAGCAAAGTATTCTTACTAACCTTCAGCAGTAAATCTCCAAAGCAAAGAGGCACCAAACCAAGCATATGTTATGATTTAATAATTTGCAGTGATAGCGGATGAAATATAGCCTCATTTAGAAATGGCCTTCTTTGCCAATAGCAAAATATATCCACTTAGAAGCATATATTGCAGTCCCACACATAGGCTATGTCTATACTCATTTTTTGAGGAAGAATGGCTCTTGCGCAAGAGGGGGGTTTTGCGCAAAAAGGAGCCATGGACTCTGCTCATTTTTGTGCAAAATCCTCTTGTGCAAAAACAGCTGCTCATTACTTATGCAAATGAAGCACAGCAATATTCCATGCCACACTTCATTTGCATATGCTTTTCCGCAAGAAGGCTATAGTATAGAAGCAGCCATAGAGAACTGTCCTTTTCCCCTTGTAAATGTATTTAGCACCTTCCATTACAGTGCTTACAGATTATCCATGATCAGTCTTGTGTACACAGAAAGTGCCACTTACAAACTTTCTCTGGGTACAATAGAAGAAAAAAAAGTTTTAAAAAGAAAATGAGTGTGTCCTGGGATGTAATTACTTTTCAGGCATCCCTATTGTCTATACACTCAGGGTTGATGTAGAGTGGTACATACCACAGTTCAGTGCTCTGGTTCTTCTTGGCATTATCACTGATATATTATGGACCTCCATTAATATCCTGATAGAGCTCCATAGCATTTAAGGGTCTGGTTATAAACGCTGAATCATATTCTTTAGTTACTTTGGTGCTCAGGAAGCAATAAAAACTGGTAATCATCTACTCTACTGGCAAGGCTGGCACTATTATAACCCTGAAAGATGCATTTGTTCTTCTGAATCTAGAGCCCATAGCAACACCTACTGGTTGTGGGTGGACTGCAAGATGAAACAAGATCATTTGTGATAGGTCAGACTACCACCTCAGTATTACATAATGACCTCTCCTCCTTCCCCCACACACCCTTCTTCTTTATATCTAGGTCAGGGGTTTCCAAACAGTTTCATGCCAGGAACCACACCTCTTAACAGACTGGACAAAATACAATCTTGTCTCCAAGAGCTTTGAAAGGGATATTAATACTTGGTGCTCCAGGCCATTAGCCAACAAGTAATGGGGGGTCAGAAGGAAACTTTTGTGGTGGGACAGGAGGGAGAAGTGTTATGCTATCACTGCCTTCTGTAGGGTTTCTTCCACCTCTCAAGCATCTGAAATGCACCTCCAGCAGATACAGGACAAGAAGGCGTATTAGTCTGATGCTATCTGGCAAGTCCTCCATTTCCTATTTTCAACTAAATTACTTGCATTTCAGTGACCTCAAATTTCAGGAGACTCTGCTTATGAGCTTGTTAATGAAAAAAGGGACACAGGTTGTGTTTTCCTCTATCTTCTTTTAGTCTTGTTGCTTCAGATGAGTGTAGAGAGTAAAAGGAGAGAGCCCACAACCACTGGGCAGTCCACACTTACCACATACAAAGATGTTTCTAAGTCAGGAGACCCCCCCCCTTCCCCCATTAGCCTAGGCATTACCCATTTAATGCCAAAAGAGTAGGCCCGGTATTTTCATTACTGTGTCCGAATACGCCCGGTTCAGGTGGGTAGTGCTCTTACGCCCTGCATGCTGCCATGTTGACGTGTTGCACCTAAGACTAGTGTTCTGATGGGGCACAGCTCTTGCGTTAGAGAGTTTTGTCCCAAAGTCAGCAACATCTTATTCAACAGCAAGGATGAGATGAGTCACCACCTCCATGTAAAGAGGCCTTAGAAGTCATGGTTACATACCACTGGAATTAGTACTTTACAAGTTACTAACATTAAAAGTCAGATTAAACTTTATTAAAAATTCTAATATAGAAAATGAGAGGAACCAAATGCGACATACTAATGCCTAAGATTATATCTCATTACATGAGTTATTGTATTTACAGTATTACAGTAGTAGTAGTCCTGGTATTCAGGGAGAACTACAAACAATACATTGTACAGACCCAATCTAACATTAACATTTCATTGCTGCAAAGAATTCAACACACTTGCTCAGACAGCAGAACAGTATAGGCAAGTGTTACATCATTGTTTTCATGGAAGGTTTTTCTGTACAAGCTGAAATACTGATTCGCCCCATCCTCCCCTCCCCTCCGCTTCACCCTTCTGGCACAAAAGTTTCCATAATTACAGCATGAATGCTACATATTATAAATGCAAAATAGGATCATTTATTGTGCAGTTTTGTCAGCACCCTGTACATTAAAGCAAAATGGTATACTAATTAGAATGTGTCATAAAAAGATTAATTATCCACTCTAGGTAAAATGAAAAATTGATTGAAATCAAAGAAGTGAAACTGAGTGCTGAATGGCATATATCTATAGTTAACATTACTCCTCAAGAGTGTAATACTATTGTACCATCATACGTTTCTGCTTGTGTGCAGGCAGGGGGATTAAAGTTCATATCTGCTTTTTTGAGAAATTGAGCTAATTTAAATGGTCTTTCCCAAGTATGCAATTTATTAGCTGAAACCTGAGGCCAGTACTGAAGGAAATGAAATGTCATAGACAAACACTGTTTCACGCTGCGTTGTCTATACATATTAATGATTTTACATTATCTACATTACAATGATTAAATGCTTCTGTATAAGTTTTACTGCTCACTTAAAAATGCTAAAGAAACTGTACAGTTTTTGTAATTACATCTTTAGAAGAATTTTTTTAGAAGTTCATAAAACGACTGTGTAACATGTCATATATAGGGAATGAAGGGACACCATGTCTGAAGACTAAAAATATGCAGTGTTGATCAATTTAAAGTCAGATCAAACATTTAATCAAAAATTTCAAAGTTGTAAATTTCTAGTTTTCTGTTCATGTTGACATACAGATTACCTAAGACACTGTGCATTTTAAAATTAATAAGAAGTTAAGTTATAAGGCCCTTATTTTAATCTGTGCTACATACAAAATGTATTGAGAAGCAAATATAATTATTAAATAATTTAATACACAAGTATAGTCAAAAAGCATTGTACATTATAGCAAATGTACATTGATTTTCAGAGATACAAAGTTACTGGGTTAATTCAAATGTACAGTTGTGAAATTCTGCTCATGGGAAGAATTCAGGAGAAAGGGAAGGGAGTTTGAATTCAAACAATTATCAACAGGTAAAACAAGCACGCCTTTCTATCCAGTGAAGACTGAAAATGTACCACCACCCTATACAGAAGCAAGTGTTAACTAGTTAGGTAATAGGTGGAATTCCCATGTTTTTCTATAACTTTATAACTAGCTTCCTATCATTTCTACAGCTAGAACAAAGCAATCCATGTGCACCAAGCTTAAAAGTCACCACTGCAAACGGAAGAACTCTGAAGAGGATACTCAGCCTCTTTATAACCCTTAGGCTTAAAAACCTCTTTCAAGACCGTGGGGCACAGGAGCCCTCTGAATGCTTGAAGGCAGTATGTCACAGGAGGCAACTCTCACATGAACACACCTCGCTTGTCTACAGACGCTTCATGTGAACCATCCCTAGTCTTCAGTATACTACAAAGTTTTACAAAATGCAAACTCTTCTAAACCAAGACTCCTCCACAGGATTTTCAAGTGACCAGCACCCACAACTGGGGGCACATTTTTAAGACCAGATGAGAACCAGGAGGTTGTGATGAGGTGCTGAGCACCACTGAAAATGTGTCCCCTTTCCGTGGGTGTTTCAATGGGAGGTGGCGTCACTTCAGCACATTGAGAGATATGGTCATAGATGTAGGACAGACTAATTGCTTCATACCCCAGAGTAAAGGTTGTGGGCTTGAACACAGGTGTGGATGGCACATGAAATATGGCACCATTCTCCTGAACATTACTGGCTGAAATGCAGACAAAATGACTGCGGTCGGTCTCACGGCTTCAGATCAGGGGAGTGTGTGAAAGGGGACATAGCCCAAAAATACAGTGGGCCCGCCACACTCAGCTACCACACGCTGAAATGTGTTTCTGTCCAGTCACGGAACACAGTCTATTGTGCCAGTACCCTTCCTAGTGGCAGATACCCATATTTAACATCTTTGCTGGCAGTCCCATCTGAGGCCAGTGACAGGACAGAATCCATCCGGAGGTGTAAGCTTGCAGTGCTGCTGCCAAACATGTCTTATGGGCAGAAGAGATTTTTGTCCCCAGAGCTGTCAATGTGTGACAATGCAAATGCATAAGTATTAATGATACAATTCAAAGGAACTCAAAAGTATACAGAAAGTAGCATGTCCCATGGTCAACTGGTATAACCCTTCTTAAGTACAAGAATAGAATTCCAGTCTGGGCCAAAAATCCAGATGAGAGAGTATCTACTCTTTTAAATCAACACAATCACAAAGCTAGGAGAAGCCAGAGATGCTTATTTGCATGAAAGTACCCATAAAACCTTGCTAGCTCACAAAAGATGCTGTTATCATTGAGTTCTGGGGAAAAAACCCCTAAATTTATGCTGCATCAAGTACTGCTATATAGGCCTGAAATTGAAGTCTCTCCCCCTACCAGTTTTGGAGACAACCATCTTTCCCTTACTGTTTAACCTAACAAAGCCTAAAATTACAATGGCTTTTGTATTACCATAGCTAAGAGCAGTGGTTAAATAGCTGCAGTACAATAAGCAGAGGGAGCACAAAATGTCACAGTTACCTGGACAAAACAGGTTTTTGTCCCATTAAAAAAAAAGTCACTCAAAGGTCAAGATGCAGACTTTGATTTCTAGAAGGCAAGTAATGTGCTGTGAGGCAGATGCCAGATTGTAGAAGAGGGGAAGAACCACCCCAAAATATGTGTTTCAAACACACTCCTGCTAGGCTAAACAACTTTAAGGTCAGAATGCTGCCCCAAATGCAAGATTGGCATTTCTTAGACATTGAAATAGTTGCAGTACTCCTCTGTTTAGAAAGCTGGACGAGTATTTTCTTATGAACTATGCAGAGCTACCAAGAGAGAGAAATAATTTAACCCTGTGAGCATGACCTCCTTTACACCATTCTGCACTCAGCATATTGGAATCCCAGCTTCAAAACGTTGACACTGTTCCACAGAATTGTCAGTTCCCAAACTACTCTGCAGATCAGGTTGTGACCACATCTCTCCTATGCAGGCAACTCGACAGCATGACTCCAAAAACTGAGGTACCGAAACAGAAAAATTACTTGGCAGATGGAAAATAGTTTAGAAACGTAAGATGTTACAGATGTTGTCTCTTCTATTCGTGTCAGATTTGGGGACCGTTTACCCTAAACCACACACTTTGTTTTGCTTCCCCTCTCGCACTTGGGCAGCCTGTGTAAGGGTCAAGTAGAACACTCAAGAGACTTTTCCCTCTCAATTGCCCTGTGGGTACACAGCAAACCAAAGGCAACGGAGTTGGGTTCCAAGACTGTGTTCCATCCAGTGAATTAGCCAGCAACACACAACTGGCAAAGTAGCAGGCACATAGCCTATCCTATGTACACCTGGGAAGTGGAATGCCTCTTTCTGCTTCCTACAACACAGTAGAGCTCTACATCACTCCCAATGCAGGGCAGGGCCAGAATACTACTACCCAGCCTATAGAACTCAAGTCTAATTAGAAATAACGTAATGTTTACCTTTGTGATGGGATTCCAATACTTCTGGCACACTCAAAGCCTTGATACAGAAGAAGGAGTGCTACCTCAAGAACCAAATTTTGAAGCATGCTGTATCCTATGGCTAGTAATGATTCTATCCAATTACTCCCAGGAAGTGGAGAGCACAGAAAGCAAAAGCAGGCATGCATCATTTCAGGTAGGGTTTAAATATTTAGATTATGATCACTGTTCCAATCGCTCCATTTTCCATTATTGTCTTTTTTAAAAACAAACTTCTAACCAATTTAAGGAACAAGTGTTCCTCTGTCTAAAACTTAATTCTGGACAAGAGGAAAACAACTTAAAACCAGAGTATGTGTATACACACAAACTAGCTGTATGTTCACATAGGGTGTGTAAAAGCAGCTTAAAATGCCCTTCTCACTTTGTAAGTCTATGAAATGTACATTACGTGATTATCAATCCATTTCCTACAAGACCCTTGCTAGAAGAGAAACTTCCTTTGTTTTCTTTGCAGAACAGTTTTTGGAAAACACTTTTTTCCTCCTCTTTTTTTGGCTACATTTTCAAGCATTGTCCTGATAGTTTCTCTCATTCACAGGAGACTGGCCAGGCTGGTGGTGGGTCCATTTTGAGCCTGGAACTGTACAGGAGGTGGTCCATCTGTCCACTGAAAGACAACATACAACATGAAAATCTTATATTCACAAGAGAGCGAGAACTATAACCTGCAAGATCAGAAATGAATAATTGGCCATATATTATTTACCATGTTGAGATAACAAAAGCAAGGGCATCAAAAGTAGTTTGATTTTTATCAGCCAGGAGTCGTTACTAGGATACACCTTCTAGACACGTTTCAGCAAGATAGCTGCATTAGTCTATTTCAGCAGTGCACAACCCAAGGGGGTTGCGGTTGTCTTCCGGGGGGGGGAGGGGGGAGGGCGAAGGAGGCCACCGCCTGCCATTTTGTTTTCCTGACTTCGTGCCCAACGGGGACGGGGGAAATGACAGGGGAGCAGACCGGTGCTTTAATTTAAAGGGGCCACAACAAAATGTTCCCAGCGCTTTTTTTTATTTGCTCAACAAAAATTTTCCCGGCCCTGGGGGTCGCAAATTAAAAAAGGTTGATCACCACTGTCTTACTGCATTTCATCTCGCCTGCCATTTTGTTTTCCTGACTTCGTGCCCAACGGGGACGGGGGAAATGACAGGGGAGCAGACCGGTGCTTTAATTTAAAGGGGCCACAACAAAATGTTCCCAGCGCTTTTTTTTATTTGCTCAACAAAAATTTTCCCGGCCCTGGGGGTCGCAAATTAAAAAAGGTTGATCACCACTGTCTTACTGCATTTCATCTAGGATGGACAAGCTACTGAATGGACACATTTCCTGTTCCTTGTCATACGAATGTAAAGGTCCAATCCTGAAATCATTCACACAAGTACAGATTTGATGGTTATGCCCCCAAGTACAAGTTCAATAAAATGCTCAAGCTAAACCAAAACTACATTCAATCAAGGCCTGTTCCTCGCTCATCTTAATACATTTGGGTGCTTACATTTTACCAAGTTTGCTGAGAGAAAATTTTTATAATATATATTTTTTCCAATCCACACTATCTAGCCTATGCGATCAGAACAGAGGTTGTAAAAAGCCCAGCAATGGAGGTAGACATCAAAAAGAAGTCACTAGCACAACACTATCTCTGAAATCTGCGTCCTCTGGGATTGCAGGTTATTTATATACATACGCTCCTGGGAACCACACTATTGCTGTGGGCATCTTTGTAAACAAGAGGTTATAACTCAAACACTCCCACCCCTGGGAAATCTCAAAGGGACCTACTGCAGACAAAGCAATGAAAGGATTTCTTCCTATTCTCCTTTCTCCCTCCCATTACTTCCAATGTACAAGACAGTGTCACTCTCAGATCAAAGGTCTGGGTGCACTACCATAACTTAACAACATAGCCAGTACATAATTGGTTTCTTGTTTTTGAAATCAAGAACTGTAGGATGAACCAGCCGACGGGTTACAAAAACTACTTTGCTCATGCAATAATCATGTGGCACTCAGGGAAAAGGACACTTGGGAAATAAAGACATCACCAACCTAACAACCTTTACAAAAAGTTCACTCATTAATCTGACCTGCATTTTTCTCTTTCCTATTATCAGTCCATTTTACATATTAGGAAGTAGTTTGAACTCTGGCAACTCACTAAGATGTTTGTGTGCTGGGGGAAAGGGTGGCATCGGTGTTTTGCTTTACACACACCACACTGCTGAAAGATGAAGACGACCTACCGTGATTAGATTGTGTTCTGGAAGACTGCATGCTTCAATATGGTCCTGAAGAAGCTGTTGTGAAAAGTTCTGATGCATCTGTGCAGCCTCATGAGCATCCATTGCGTTCCCACAGGCTTTGTTCAGATCTGAAAGGGAAAAAAAGCGAGCATATAATTTTTGTACTGACAAAGATTAAACGGCAGACAGTTCAGGTATATGGTAGTTTTTATTGCTTATGAGTGCCCCCTTTTTACTGGCTGAGGGAGAGCTCACTTGTGTAGTCCCATATGAAACTTTCTTCCTTTCTCCAACTTTTTTGATACAATTATTTCAAAAAGTCAAGTTTTTAAAATTGATTATTCCCCCTCCCCCACAAAAAAGTCCGCCCTTTAAACAGTATCTTGGATCTTTTTGAACAACTCCTGAGAGAAATTTAAAGTGTTTCTGCACCTTAGGAATGTTTATCAAATTATTTTCAGCAAGAGAGAACCATGAAAATGGACACAAAATGGTAACAGGATTAGTGTACACTGGAAATGCTGTAGGCGTACTGCCATAGCATGCCAGTGTACACTTTATCCATGCTAACGGAAAGGGTTCTCCCATCAGCATCGGTAATCCACCACCCTGAGTGGCAGTAGCTAGGGCGAAAAAGAACGCTTCAGTTTAACTAGCACTAGCTCTATAGGGAATTAGACCATCTTAGCTATGT